ATTTTTTTTGAAGACAGCCTGTTTTGTTTTGTTTTAAAGAGAATGCTATTCCTAGGTTTTTAGAATATTTTAAAACTTATATTTGATAGTTTAAAAATGCTAAGATATGCTTTACCTAGGGTCTTTGCTTTGAATATGATCTATTTCCTTCTGGTTAGGTCAAGCCATAAGATGAAATTGAGAACCTGCCGGTGACCAGGTTTCCTATGTATATACTAGGGAAGAGGAAGAAGCTGGAACAGAGGGAAAAATAAGGTGAACAAAGCAGATGAACAGGATGAGGGTGAGGAGGAACTTGTAAGTGGGGGAGGGGAAAGGTGAACACTCTGGGGATTGGGTTGGAGTTGGAAGGATGTCTGTTAGGGATTCTTGGGGGTGAGGAACTCCTCTATGTATGTAAATGTTGATGTGTACAGATGGACATGTTTCTGAGTTTCTTTTTCAGTTTCTGTGATGAAATGTCCTGACCCTCCCACCCAACCCCCCCAAAAGACGGATAAAATGCTTATTTTGGCTACAGTTCAAGGTATAGTCATCATGGCAGGGAATCCATGACAACAGGAGCCCCCCCCCCCTCTGCCTAGGGAATAGTACTACACACAGTGGACAGGGCTTCCCATCTCAATTAAGTCAATCAAGCTAATTTCTCTGAGTCATGCTGTCTCACAGTCAGAGGCTGTCTCACAGGTGTTTACCAGGATGACAGTTAATGTGAATCATCAAAACATATATGCCATTCTTGGGGGGAAATAACCAAATCCAGACAGGAGCAAGGAAATAGAAGATGAGCCTAGAACATGTCATGGTAGAGAGTAACATAATGCTCAAAGAACTAGGGGGACAGGTCAAAAGGACACAGGGGCAACTTGAAGGGGCTCCTACTGGCCAAACTGAGAACGGCATGAACATTAAAAATGAAGAATGAGGATTGGAAAAGAAACTACCAAATAGAATAAAAACCTCAATCAATCATAGTAAACAGCTAAGCACAACCCCGTATTTGATAGAGGAGAAAGCCAGGTTGACCAGAAGACTGTTGGCAACAGTAACATCATGAAACAGTGCTCTTCATTTGGTTTTCGGGTGTTATGGATCACATTCAGGTTTTTCTTATGCTAGGTGAGCATTCTACCATAAGCCATACCTCTAGTCTATGTAGTTGGTAAAGCAACTTGGCTCATTAACTTTAATTGTTGATTGACACAACCTAGAATCACCTGGGAAGGAATTATCTAGAATAGGTTGACTTGCATGCATGTCTTTGGAGAACTGTCTTGATTTTTTTTAAAGATTTATTTATTTATCTATTTATGTATTTATCTACTTATTATGTGTACAGTGCTTTGTCTGCATGGCCAGGAGAGGGCACCAGATCTCAATACAGATGGTTGTGAGCCACCATGTGGGTGCTGGGAATTGAACTCAGAACCTCGGGAAGAACAGCCAGTGCTCTTAGTCACTGAGTCATCTCTCCAGCCCGCCTGTCTTGATTTTTAATTGATGTAGGAATACCTAGCTCATCGTGGGTTATTCTGAAGGTTACAGAGGCCTTATGAGTCAATTTATGTTTGAACAACATGGCACTGATACAGATATCCGTCATGGGCCAAGGTGATAACCCTGGACAGCACAAAATGGTTGGCAATGGATGTCTGGAGAAACCCTAAGTAGAGTGATGTAATCTGTTTATAGGTTTCTTACAGGAGACCACTTTTGTGTGGCTTTTGTATGAGCATGGCTTTGAAACATGAATGTGTAAGAATCTCTTTGGGGTGCTTATTTAGATTCCTTCCAGGGGTAGACTAGCCTGGTGCTATGGTGATTCTAGCTTTAGTGTTTTGAGAAATCTCTGTGCTGATTTCCATAGTGGCTACTCAAGTTCCCCCTCCCACCAGCAGTGTAAAAAGTTTCTTTTCCTTCACATTCTCACCAATACCTGTTGTCATTTGTTTTCTTGAGGACAGTCATTCTGAAATGGATGAGATGGAATCTCAGTATAGTTGGAGTATGCATTTCTTTGGAGGCTAAGGTGGAACATTTTTTCAAACATTATTTCTTGACAACTTCCATTTCTCTTTTTGAGTACTGTTGGTTATTTGATTACTTATTCATAGGTTAATTTGCTTGTGTGCATGTGTCTGTGTGTTGTATCTCTGTGTGTGATTGTACATGTCTGTATGGATGTGTGGAAACCATGCTAAACATTTATCAGCCATTGTCTCTTACTGATCAATTGGCTAAACTGGCTGTCCATTGTGCCCACAGTACCCTTCTGTCTCCACCAGTCAGAGCTGAGGTCAAGGAATGCACCCTCACACTCATCTTTCTTTTCTTTTCTTTTCTTTTCTTTTCTTTTCTTTTCTTTTCTTTTCTTTTCTTTTCTTTTCTTTTCTTTTCTTTTCTTTTCTTTTCTTTTCTTTTCT